AGCTAATAGCTAGGCCCAAACACAGTCACATGGATGAAGGGGAAGATATCACAGCTGCTTTCAAGCTATTATGCCAGAATCTGCCACCTTGCCCACTCAGGAATATGGGTCCTTGTGCACTTTTCCTGCAGTAACATGACATGCATTTCAAGTAACATCCCATTCATTTATATGTGTTTTTTTTATGTATATGCAAGTCTATTAAAATGAAAGGCAAAACAAAAAAAAAATGCATATACAGTGTAGTTTTGTGTGATTTTAATGCATCTGCACCCTAGAAAGTCCCCCAAAAAAGCACATTACTGTGTGAAAGAAAAACTAAACCTAAGAAGTTAAAGTGGTTTTAAAGGCTCAAGGTTATTTACCTTTATGCATTCTATGCAAGAAGGTAAAAAAAAACCTGTGTATAGAAGAGTCCCCAGCCATCCTTTATACTTACCTGGGCCCCCCTTTGGATCCAGTGATGTGCACGAGAGCAGCGTCTCTCCCAGGATTCTCTCTCCTCATTGGCTGAGAAAGCAGCAGCAACCATTGGCTCCCACTAGTGTCAATCACAGCCAGTGAGCCAATGAGAGAGTGGGGGTGGGGCCAAGATGAGCTTTGTGTCTGAATGGACAGACAGAGCAGTGGCTCGGGGCATTTGGCAGGAGGCAGGGGTCAGGAGTGTTGGCGGAAAACCCAAGAAGAGGAGGATTGTGGCTGCTCTGTGCAAAACCATTGCACGGAGCAGGAAGGTATAACACATTTGTTACTTAAAAAAAAAAAGTCAGCCTTTAATATCACTTTAATTAGGTTACAGCTTTATAGTTCATACATGTAGAGAGTGCATTCGTTTTTGTTTTTTTTTTTTTTTTAAGATCAGAACATTTTCAGCAAGTACAGAAAGCTCCTGTTGATATATATAGTGGATAAACTGCAAATTAAGAGGATTTTTATACTCCCCAAGAAATCATTTTCTTGGAGTCCATTGATGGATACAGGTATTCAGACACAGGTTATACTGCCACCTACAGGAGTACAAATTTGCAAAGAAAGTGAGGCCCAAGTACAGCCTGGGCCCCAAGGCTCCACAGGGATCAATCTGAAGAATAGCACAGCTACTTGCAGGCATGGTGGTGCAGATGGGAAATGCACTTTATACTGCAACATTTCTTTCAAGGGAGCAAAAACTGTGACTGACAAATCGACCATCACTTGTTTTATAAATAGGCCCCTATATGTAACATTTTCAGGTTGGACTGGTGGGTACCTTAAACTATACTATTTGCACAATTGATGACTGACTATAAACTCTTTTACTCTTTTACGTTCTTGTGCAAATAAAAATAATATGTAAAAGCCAAAACTTTGGTTTGGATAGATAATGAAGAGTTAGAAAACTGCCAAGGGTTTTTTTCTTTTTGGCAGTCTCTGTACAACTGGGAAATGGTTCCTTAACTTCCGGTCAGGAGACACTACATGAAGTTAGAGGAAATCTCCCAAAAGAAGGAGAATTCCCCTTTTAGACAGTTGACCACATTGGAAGATTCTCCCTCAATGCTCTTTCTGGGGATAACTCTAACATGTTGGATTCCCCCTTAACATTTTTCTTTGCGACAATGGTTACCAGGACAAATACAGGGGTGAATTTCCCCCAATTGTGACTCAAAAAACAAATCTGACAGAGGGTCTAACCATACACACTGTCCAAAACAAAAGTTCTGCTGAGAGTTATACTTTAAAGTGGTTTCCCAACCAAGATTTGAATAGAGTAGGGAAAGGTTAGATTTCCTGTAAGGTATTTATGGTCGTCTGTGTTTTAAAGGAAAGATTCACCCTATCAGAAAAGGAATAGAAAAATCCTCCAATGGCGACTCCTGTACCACAGTTCTAACCATTCCTTTCTGAATTGCAAAAAATATATATAGATATTTATTAATTATAATAACAACAAAAGTTTGGCTATAGATAAAAGGGTTGAAAAGTTGATAGAGTTAGAGTACCTATTTTCCTAAACACATCAAAAGGAAATCTATATAGTCTATATATAAAAATAATACACACACTACAAAATTATAAAGAATACCCACCTTTCATTGATCTCTGTAGAGTGTTCAGGTCGTCCCAGTCCACAAATATCTCCGATGAAATCTGATGCCACATCTTAATTCTCTCAGGCGGGTCAACGTATGTTGCATTCTGCGGATCTTAAGTTCGGGATGGAGGTACACAAGCGCTATCAGAAGCTCAATATCAAGGCATGACTTGGAAGCCACGTTGAAACTGATTCAATCCAAAATACCATTTCTGTTCCTGTACAGACAGGAAATACGGTGCGAGCGCGTCAAAAAACGCAACTCATTATTTATATGCGTTTCTTTTCAAATTTGCTTACGCAATTTTAAAAACAGAGGTACGGCATCTTTAAAAGGTAGCATGGCAAGTAACTGACAATGCAATGCTAGTAAGCTTTAATAAACTCAAATAACCCAAGCCAATAGAACATTTCAGTTAAAATTCCTATCACCTGGCATATTTAGTGGTGGGGTCTGTTTAAATCCAAGGCCAAAATACCTTAAAAGTTACATTTTTTTAATGGTTTCCTCCCAAAAATACCTGGTACTTCACTTATGATGCAGTTCTCAGGTCTAGCAGTTAGTCATTAGTATTGAGCGCATGACAGAGGGGATCATATCACCACTCCCTCGAAGCTACAAGATTAGGTATTTTGCGGCAACGGTCACTGAATTAGGGGCAGCTGATGAACCGAGCGTAAAGTGGTCAGACACAGCTTTGCAGAGACCACATCATTTGCCCAGAATGGACAAGGTGATAAAGGTTCTTTTAGGAGCCGGTTCACACCAGAGCTCAAACCACGTTCCTGTGCGATAACTGTGGCCTGGACAGCGATTTTGCAGCCCATTCGTTTGAATGGGCTATAAATCGTATTGGAATGCACAAAAACAGTGCATTTGAAAAACATGCCATACTGAATCACATAGTACTGTGGTATAAATGTAATCTGGTGATGGCAAAATGCACTGCTCTTGCCATCTGTGTTTGGGGGTGCCATTACCAATGTGTTGGCACCCGTAGCAAATTGCAAAGGTGGCGAGTTTTGAAAGTGGTGAAGAAAATGCCCACAGACCGTGTCTTTCCTTCATGGAATTCTAGTGTGAATCTGCCCTTAAAGACTACATAACAAAGGCCTAAATTAGATGTTTAATCTCTTGGGGACCCCAACAGCAAGCTCTCACCTTTGCCCAGCCCCAAACAGCAGCCCACTTTATCAGTTTGATTCTCTGAAACAGAAAATACAAATCCACAAGAGGCAGATATTTTCATGATGGCCAAAGAAAGGGGCTAAGCTTAAATTCAAGTGCACTTGTTGAGGAAGTCCCAAAAAAGAGAGTTTTGAAAGATCTAACCCTTTAAAAGAAAAGAAACAGAAAGAGAACCATAGGGCCACATTACATAATATGCACAATACAAGACACTGATAATTCAGAGCATCTACCCTTATTTCCTTTTTTTAATGCTAGATTTGTCTATTATAAATATTAAAACATGAGACTAACATTTTATTTTTAAGGCCTTTTTAGGTTTTTCTTAAGCTGTGTGTGTCTTTTTTACAAGTATTGTGTTGTGCGAGTATAGTATAGGTATAGCGTCTAAACCAGGGGTGGGCAAACTTTTTGACTTGAGGGCCGCAATGGGTTCATATATTGGACCCGGGGGCCGGACCAAGAGTAGATGAATGATGTGTATGTGTCATCCATAGTAAGTATAGTAATATTCCCCCATAGTAAGCATAGTAATTCATCCCCCATATAGTAATTCATCCCCCATATAGTAATTCATCCCCCCTACAGTAATTCATCCCCCCTACAGTAATTCATCCCCCCTACAGTAATTCATCCCCCCTACAGTAATTCATCCCCCCTATAGTAATTCATCCCCCCTACAGTAATTCATCCCCTATAGTAATTCATCCCCCCTATAGTAATTCATCCCCCATATAGTAATTCATCCCCCCTATAGTAATTCATCCCCCATAGTAATTCATCCCCATATAGTAATTCATCCCCATATAGTAATTCATCTCCCATAGTAATTCATCCCCCATAGTAATTCATCCCCCATAGTAATTCATCCCCCATAGTAATTCATCCCCCATAGTAAATCATCCCCCATATAGTAATTCCCCCCATAGTAAATTCATCCCCCATATAGTAATTCATCCCCCATAGTAAATTCATCCCCCATAGTAAGTCCCCCCTGTGTCAATTCACTTACCTTTGCTCCGCGCGTTCCTCTCGCCGTTCCGGTGTAGCATGAAAATCTGTCTCCTATGAGGATCTGTCCCCCTCGACATATCTGCGCATGTGCCAGTTTCAGGCATTAGCAGCCGATCGGCGATCTCCGGCACATGCGCAGATACGTCGAGGGGGACAGATCCTCATAGGAAACAGATTTTCATGCTACCGGTCTTCAGGGCGGACTGTGAGAGGAGCCTAGCGGGAGCCTAGCTCCGCGGGCCGGATTAAAAGGTCCGCCGGGCCGTATACGGCCCGCGGGCCGTAGTTTGCCCATTGCTGGTCTAAACTGTATGAGTAGCTAGGGTGATTAACAGTCATTTGAGATGCAACCTAGTCACCAATTGTAGTGAGATAGGACACGATTAAGTCATAGTTAAAGCTGGTAGGGTGTAATAACAAGGAGATACATAGAAGAGTCAGGTAAGCTGGAATAGATGCAAAATTGTAAATTTACAGACAGTACACATGTATAGTATAAATGTGCATTCAGTGCATACTTTCCCTAGCACTGGACAAAAAAAAATGCAGTTTGAGTATAGTGTGATCTTAAAGTGATAGTAAAGTGTTCTAAAGGCTTTTTACCTTCATGCATTCTATGCATAAACCTTCAGTGTGCAGCTCCCCCCTCAGCCCCGCCCTAACACCCCGGTCACATCGGGTGCGGCTTGGGATGCGATTTGCATGCCATGCGACTTGCAAATCGTATGCCAAGTCGCACCCTATTGTCTGCAATTACAGCAATCAAATCGGTGCGGTTCTGACTCGGTTGGAGCCGCACCAATTTCTAATGTAGTACATGCATTACTTTTGGCGCGATTTACAAAGACATCTGTGTCAGAGGTCTTGCAAATCACACCTGAAATCGGCATCTCACCCTACTTTGAAATCGCGCGACTTCACAGTAAGTCGCACGACTTCACAGTAAGTCGCACGATTTTAAGGTCAGGCTTGATGTGACCAGGGGGGTAATACTCACCTGAGCCTGTGATATGCACAGGAGCAGCAGCTCTCACGGGTCTTTCCCACCTAGTTGGCTCAAACACAACAGTGGGAGCAACTGCTGTCAATCACAGCCAGGGAAGATGGGGCGGGGGCAGGACCTAGCTGCTCTGTGTGTGTCTTCTAAGCAGAGCAGAGTAAGCCGCTTGCTCTGGGGGTAGAGGGAAGGAGACAGAAGCGCAGGCAGGGAACCTGAGAAGAGGAAGATCGGGGCTGATCTGTGCAAAACCATTACACAGAGCAGGTAAATATGCCATGTTTGTTATTTTAAAAACAAAATCTGAACCCTTAGTATCACTTTGAAAAGGTTTTTTTTGTTTAATAAAAAAAAAAATTAATAAAGAATAATAATAATGTTCTACCTACCTGCTCTGTGCAATGGTCTCTTAACTCTCTCTGCTGGAGTCCTTTGCGCCATCCTCTTCTGCCCTCTTTCAAGTGCTCCCCAAGCAAGCCATATGCTGAGGGGGTACCTGTGCGGGCACGCCCCAAAGCCAGGCTGTGTGCATCCATAGACACACAAAACCCAGCTCAGCCATGCTCCCCACTCTCTCCTCAGGATTTGATTGACAGCAGGAGCCAATGGCTCCCAATGCAATCAGTCTCCTGCGAAAAGAGGCAGAGAGAGCAGCAATGCCACAGACGAGACAGTACTGATTACTGGTAAGTGTTTTGGGGGGGGGGGGTTGCTAGAGCAGATCGTCTGACTTTATTTAACCTTAATGCAGGGAGTGTATTAAGGTAGAAAAAAATGTTTAATGAAACCAATTTTTATTCCTTGAAACAGACCCACTCATGTTTAGAAACCATAGAAACATTTTACAATTGTGGTTTTGGCTCATTGCATGTTGTGCAAAGTGCAGTAAAACAAAGAAATCTTTCAGAAGTCAAACCAATCTATATGATGGATTCTGATTTTTTCAAGTGCTGCACTTTGGACTAAGCACTTTTTTTCTTGTGCAGTTTTCAATAGTCCACAGATGTTCCACAAAACCAGAATACAGTTATTAATAGATAAGGAAACATTTTAAATCATTCCGGATTCAACAAATATATTCAATATTCAAAATGAACTACAAGACTATACATCTCTAGTTATCATTTTGTTTGTTCATATCTTTGCAAAAGTTTATGGCACGTATTTTTGCATTCTCAACTTTTCAATAAACAGTTTGTAAACAAAAAAAAATCATCATCTTATGAACTTAGCTGTTTAGCTTTTGGCTGATTAGGTGCAGTGGAACTACCAGTAACATGTTTGAATTTAGACTTGCACTGCCTCCTCACCAAAGTAACTTGTGAAATATGGCACTTAATGAGTGATTGCAGCCTTTTCACAGATTTTTTTAGACATACTGCGTGAATATGTGAATGTAATCCACAGAAGGCAAATGAAAGTATCAATGACAGTTAATGTTTAAAAATACTTGTTTCTAAAATGTAGTTTAAAAAACTAGATTTTTGTACTTGCCGTAAAATCCTTTTTCTTAAAGTCCATTGATGGACACAGGAAGTCTTTAATCTTTGGTTTATACTGCCACCTGCAGGAGTTCTAGCCTGTTCCAAATAAGAAAAAACTGTAGACTAGTCCAGAACAACCCCTCCTACCAGCACGCTTCAGGTTTGTAGCAAAGCAGTATAGACAGTATGATCATAAACACAGAAGAGTGGAGATCTGTGTGAATCAATGGTCTCCGAAAAAAGGATTTTACGTAGTATAAAAATCTTGGTATCTTTCCTATCCTTCAAAGGACACAGAAGTCTAACCTTTGGAACATCCAAAGGCAGACCAACTAAGAAGTGCACAACACAGCAATCAATTGCTAACAGGCATACGAAAAAAAAAAAAACTGGGGAGTGGCACAGGAGGTCAAAGAGCCAAATGATGAATCTTACACCTGAGGTTGGCTTCAATTGAGGCCCAAACATCCAACCTGGAGAACTTGTAAACAGATGACCAGGTGGCAGCCTTTCAAACCTGGGAAACAGTTGTTGGTATACTAAATCTGTGAAAGTTTCTTAGGCTTTTCAGCATCAGAGGGCCTTGACAGGAAGGGTGGAATCCGTTTCCTGAAACCATAGGCTTTGATGACGGTTTGCTTGAGTCATGTAGAGATGCTGGAATGAGCAACCAAAGCACCCTTACAGGGATGACAAAAAGGGAAGCAATTTTTCTAAAAGAAGCAGTGGCAGAGAGATAGACTCTCACAGCACAAACCACATTCAGACAATGGGTGAAATTTTATTTTTGGTGAAATGGAGCTGGACAGAAAAATGGAAGACGATGTACTTGTTGGGATGAAATGCAGAAACTACTTTAGGCAAGAAGGAAGTCCTTGGCCTCAACACCACCTTGTCTTTATGCAAACCAAAACCAAAAAAGTTCCCCCAACGAGGTGATGGGCACAAGATACAAAACCTTGTGAGTGAGAATAGAGAGGAATATCTGTAATGGGCTCACATGGCAGTTTCTGAAGAACAGAGAGTACCAGAGTCAGATCCCTCAGTTTCACTGATCTTATGGAAAGTTGCTAGATTTTAGAATCCAAGGTATAAAAAACTCTGAGATGCTCCTGTCCATCAGAACCCAGAGTTGATCGACCATGCTGTTAAAGCCAGTGCCCATGAAGCAGGATGACAAATCAGTTTTGGGGACAGAAGATCCTGATGGTCCAGCAGAGTTCACAAAGTGCCTGCCATGAGTCCCACCAGCTAGGCATACCACAACCACCTGGGCCAGTCTAGAACAATGAGGAACACTGGAATAACCTCCATCTCAAATCACATAAGGAAGACGGGCTAGTCTAGAACAATGAGGAACACTGGAATGACCTCCATCTCAAATCACATAAGGAAGACGTTTCAGGTAAGGAAAGACAAATTAAAGTGCACTGATCTCATGTAGCTTTCGGACCATCCGTTGCTTCTACTCAATGATCCCTTTACCTGAAGGCATATCTCAAGCTTGTTGTTGAGCTCGGAGGTCCACGTGCAGCATGCCCCACACGTAGCAAACATTCTGGAACACGTCAGAGTCTAAGGAGCTCTTCCCTTGGTACATGCACTATTTGCTAAGGAAATCTGCCTGCCAATAGTCTGTGTCTGGAATGTGCACAGCAGACAAGGCGAGACTGTGAAATTTTGCCCAGGACAGGTTCTAATACACCTCTGTTGATGTGGGAAAGCTTCTAGCTTGATTGAAGCATGCCACCACATTTGTCTCACTGAATATGAATCTGAGAACCCTCTAGTAGGACAACTCTGCAAACAGCCAAATTTCCTGAAGTTCGAGAGTGTTTGATGGATGGGACGACAAGACTAGGATGATGATCAAGACCCCTGCACCAATAGGGTGCCCAGGACTCCCCTTGAGCCAAACAGGCTGGCATTCATCATGAGGATCCTTTGGAAGTCTTTTTCTTTCTGGTATATTAAACTCCAGAGTAGGATTCCAGGCCCACCAAGCCAGGAACAACCTTGCCCTCAGTGACAAACTGGTCTGTCTAGAGACCAAAGCCGCTTGTTCTACATGGAAAAAGGCAGTGATGCACAGGCATGGACTGAAACTGAGAAAATGGAACTGCCCCAAAAGAGGCTACCAACAGGCCAAGGACTACAGGACTGGGAGCTTGAAACTGACACCAGTGTGACGTTTCTTATGTAAGGCATACTTTAGCTTGAGCTATGTCCAAGACCAGATCCAAATACTCTCAAATGATGTGTCCAGCAAAAGCTTCAGCATCCATCCAAACCACTGTAAGCTCTGGAAGTTAACCACGTCTGACAGACTTCATTCAAACTGTTCCCTCAACAGGATGCATCTACGTATACCACAATGGGAATGCCAAAGAATGCAGCTGGGCTAAAACTGGAGCCAGCACCCTGGTGAGCACCTGTAGTGCAGATGAAAAGCAGGGCCAAAAATAGGCAGTGCAAGAGCCCCGCAGAAAAGAGTAGAAATTTCTGATGCGCTGTAAAGGCGGGGACGTTGTTGATGTTCAAGAATGCCAGAAAGTATGAGGAAAGCAATGACGATTTTTGTGTATTCCATGCAGAACGTCTGAACCTGAATACAGAAATTCAGAGCTTTTAGATCCAAGATGGGGTGGATAAACCCATTGGGTTTCAGAAATGTTAATGAGTTGGAGTAAACCCCTGAAATAGTTCTGCCACAAAAATAGGAGAAATGCCACCCTTATTTAGAAGGCCCAAGGGGGTTGAATAGAGATCTGCTAATCTGTGCAATGACACAGGAAAGCTGAAGGTGAGACTGAGGAAAGTGCAATGAGCGAAACTGGTATGTAGCTATTCAATAAGCAAGGGATTAACCATAGAAGTGGTTAGATTTCTTTTAAGGGTTTTTAACGAAGACATGGTTTAACAAAGTAAAGTCACAGTCAGGATTGGGTTAAGGGCACGACCCAACCAGAGGGAACATAGCTGCTTCCAACTACTATAGGAACAGACTACTTCTGAAGAAAGTGTTCACCAAATAGTCAGAATTTTGCAGGAAGTGGAGGCAGTGCAGCTGCACAAAGTGTTAGATTGAAGAAAACAACAAATCAATCTTGAGCCTTTTTCACACGAGGGGTCCAGATCGTGGTCTGACTGTCAGTTTTTCAAGTGAAACTGATTGCACCCTCCATTTACCCCTATGGACCTCCGCATTTGTGTCCATTTATATACGCCTACCTCCAATTCGATATCCGGTCCACTAAAAAGGAGGAAAAAAAAAAAAAAAAGGGGAAGGGGGATCCCATTCCTCCATCTAGGCGGATAATGGGCAGTCAGATGCAGGGACGGACTGACAACACATGGGGCCCCCCCGGGCAATAGGGGATCATGGGGCCCCTGTGTCCTTGCCCAAACTCAAAAAAAGCCTATGAAAAAGGTATCAGGGGCATCACCTGCCTGGAGTTTGCATGTTCTACCTGTGCCTGCGTGGGTTTCCTCCCACACTCCAAATATATGCTGGTAGGTTAATTGGATCCTTTTTAAATTGTCCCTAGTATGTGTATGTATGAATGTGAGTTAGGGACTTTAGATTGTACGCCCCTTGAGGGTTAGGGACTGATATGAATGTACAATGTATATGTAAAGCGCTGCGTAAATTGACAGCGCTATATATGTACCTGAAATAAATAAATAATAAATCTCATGGGGCCCCCTACTGACCCCGGGCCCTCGGGCAGTGCACGAGTTTCCAACCAAATGGTCAGTCCTGCTCTGTCTGCTTACATCTGACCAGAGGCGAGTTCTGTCTGTGTCCGCTCTGCAAAAAATGAGCATACACGGACCTGTCATTTACCCACTCTACTCTGACACCGAATCAGCAGATAGATCCCCTGCTGATCTAAAAGGAATCGACCAACTGTGAAAGGGGCCTTACTGACAAAAGGCAGCATTGGTAAGTGCTACTTGGTAAGATTTTATTTACAAAAACAAACTGAAAATGTTTCTTGATGACTGTTTAAAGCTGAACTACAGGCAGATATCAAAAGAAGGACCATTTACCAAAAACCATTTAATATATCATTACATAGAACTAGCAAAATGTACTTTAACCTGCCTTGATAGAAGGCTCTTGTAAATCCTTGAAGATCAGTACTCAGATTGGGAGAGGGAGGGATAGTACTAGGAGCCAATGAGGGCTTTGCTGCTTTTTTAATAGAACTTAAACCAGTAATTTAACTTGCTTAGCGGAGGTGAGCGAGCACCAGAATGACCATTTCCATGCTGCAGTTCCTTTCTGTCCAACCAGAGACTATCCAGTCCAAGACTTGACCCACACTGCAGACTGTATACAGGCCTTGTGCCTAGCTATGTCATTTGGCAGGGACGATTACATTAGAGGTACTGCTCAACAGAATTACAAATTGTTTGGTGAACAGTTTTTTTTTTTCAACACAAATGTACACAAGTCCTCACGCACATTGGACAGTTTTACAGCGGCTGTGTTTGGCTTTCGACGTTTTTCTACAGCCAGTAAACCAGCATGTTATCCTATGTCTACTTAGACCAGCGCAAAACCCACAAAGCAATACAAATAAATAACCCCGCCCATAAATAATATTAATCAAAATACATTGTGACACATAAAAAATAGTAATAATTTAAGTGATTTAAAAAAAAAAATTTCTGAAAAAAATCAGTGACAAATTCAAAAAACAGTCCTGTGAAAAAAACTGTATTTTCATTGGATTCTTCTGTGCCAATAATACCTCCACCATCCACCAGTGCAAAACCAACATGAACCGCACTCACCAGATATTTGGTGAGTAAAACGCCTTTCAGGGATATTAAGGGCTCCTGGACCCCCTTTTTATAACCTCCAAATATTGCCTCCTATAAGATATAGAAACCTCCTCCGGTTACCTCCTCTCACCGAATCCACCAAAAATCAGGAAGAAGAAAAAAAGACCATAGCGTGATACCGTTATAAATTCCAATCTTAGAAGAATTTTAACCAGACCACTCAGATTTTAGTGGATATTAACCAGCATTTTATTGAAGCAAAACGATCTTTCTTTCATATAAAAACGATTTTCCAATTTCTGTATAGAGACCCCACAGCCAGGTATACAGCAGGATAACAGACCTCAGATGCAGCCTCATTCACTAGGCAAAGATGGCCCCTTGGAACGCACCGCTCGGCGTGCGTTCCACTCACCGGAAATTACTTTGAAATGAATTTATTTGTATTGCTTTGTGGGTTTTGCGCTGGTCTAAGTAGAAATACGTTTTTTTGGTTTTGCACCTGTGTACAGCAGCATCTCACGGGGAATAGTGTGTGGGGGGCAAGGGAGTCCTGGGCGCTGAGGTTTTTTCTTTTGAGATGTTATCCTATGTGTCCATGCACACAGACTGTAATCAATGTTTTTTGGCAGGGACGTTTTTTGGCTGGTAAAAAAAACCCAGGACTAGTAGGCTTCTAGAGTTTTTTTTAGCTGTAAAAATGCTCTAACGCTGAAAAACGTGGCAAATCGGCATTTTTGGACTTTTATTTGACAAAAACCCCACTCTGAAAACCGCAAACATGGCAAAATGCCTCTAAACGCTAAATGCAAAAACGCTAAAAAGACTCACGTTTTTAACGTGACTTTACCCAGCTAACACTACCAGCGTTATTAAAACGCCCCGTGTGTATGGAGACTTATACTGCTTTCCTGGAGTTCTGCTTTAAAAATAAAAAAAAAACCATAACTTTTAATACCTCTTGCCAAACTTCCCCCACCCCTCACCCAATCAGATCATTTGGTAACCTCCTCCTTCACCAAAGGACAGTTGACAAGCAAAAAAAATAATCCTGTAAAGACAATTTAGTGGTTGCAACTTTTTTAAATAGAATACAGAATATGCTATAATATAGTTGAAAAACTCAAACAGTACAAGTGAAATTCAATCCCTAAAAGTCCACACTATCAAAAAATATATAAAAACACAAATATGTCCTTCCTGTGTAATCACGGTGAAAAAATATGTGCCAAGAAATTATTATCCTCCCAACGATTTCCACGATAAGTGTTACCTCAAAAAAAGAAAAATAATATCACATAGTGCATTATCTTTAATCAACCGAATATAAACATGTGACTTCACTCTAGTGATTATCCCATCAAAAACCTTTGCAGTGAAAAATTGTGAAAAATAAAACTGTGAATCGAACAGTGCACCAACACTGTGTGTGTGAATCACTCTTCAGTGCCAAAAAATAAACTAACACAGTTTACACTTCTAATTGGAATAAGGAGTGGGTACCCTTACCAACAATCCAAAATAATCACGCCTATATTGAAATCCAATAAATGGTGAAAAATGGCCCTCCTGTAGATCTCCACAAGGCATATACAACCTCCACAGCACTACCCGGATTCATCAGCCATAGTACTCCATGTGTCCCCATACACCTTGCTCCATCTGGATATACATATGTGAGGGCCAAGATAAATGAAATAATAAGCTTTAAATCAAACTGCTCACATTATTCCATTAAAACCGCTTTGTATACATAATAAATAACCTGCCATCCAGGAAACATCCAGGCTCTAACAGGTGATCCTTTCCCTTTTCCAAAATGGCCACCGTCAACTTCCGGTTCTTGTGTGCGTCTGACATCACTTTCCTTTTTAAATAGTTTGTGCTACATTACATTTCAATGGATGTCTAGCTACTGTATATCCATCTTCATTCGACTGATATAAACTTTGCATTCTAAAATGTACAAAACATATTTAATCGTCTGGTTTGTTTAATCAAGCAATTAAAGTGGAGTAGGATATATTGAAACACAAAACGCAACCAGGGGCGGACTGACCATTTGGAAAGTCGGGCACTACCCGAGGGCTCGGGGTCAGTAGGGGGCCCCATGAGATGCCCCTGGTACCTTTTTCATAGGCTTTTTTGAGTTTGGGCAAGGACACAGGGGCCCCATGATCCCCTATTGCCCGGGGGCCCCATGAGTTGTCAGTCGGCCCCTGAACGCAACCAATCAGTTTTCACCAGTGGGTCACTGAAAGACCTGGGCAGGCCGATTGTGTGTAACTGCTTTTTACCATCTTCCTTTCTATTACAGTTGCTTTCTATGCTGCCTCTGAGAGCAACGGTTACAATAATCTAGTCATTCCTCAGATCTCTAGTTTAAGAAAACTTACGTTTTCGCTCTTTTATTGTCCTTATTTCTTCTTCACTCTACAAAAAAAATAAAAAATAAAAGTTAAAAAGGAGGAGTATGTCAAGCAAAGAGTACATCTCTGGGCAGCACAGTGGCTAAATGGTTAGCACTTCTGCCTGACAGTACTAGGGTCTCTGGTTCGAATCCCAACCCCGACACCACCTGCCTGGAGTTTGCATGTTCTCCCTGTGCCTGCGTGGGTTTCCTCCGGGTACTCCGGTTTCCTCCCACACTCCAAAGACATGCTGGTAGGTGAATTGGCTCCTGTCTAAGTTGGCCCTAGTATGTGTATGTATGAATGTGAGTTAGGGACCTTAGATTGTACACCCTTTGAGGGTTAGGGACTGATGTGAATGTACAATATATATGTACAGCGCTGCGTAAATTGACAGCACTATATAAGTACTTGTAATAAATAAATAATCTCTGCCATACATACATATTTCCCCATTTACCCTGTTCAGATGTTGCAAGTACAGAAAAATCAAAGTTTACATAAACAAAAACAAGAAAAGCTCTGCAGAGATGACCAACTGCACACAGAGCAACTGCAATGTGGCCTAGTACAGTGTATGCAAGGGGAGGGCAAGCTGCAGATGACACCTACTGGACATAAAAGCAGTATTAAACCCAAAAGCAAACATTTTTAGTCTTTCTTCTCATTTTCATCTGGTGATCCAGCCAGCAAGTCTGATGTTTTTCAAAAGAACAAGCTTTTCAAGAGAATGGATCAGTTTACATGGATGAGACAAACCATTTAACACTTGTAGGTCTGCTTAAAATGATCCGTTTTTATTTATTTAAAACCTTTAACCCAAAAAAAAAAAAAAACAAAAACTGCTGTATCTGATTATAAAGTGTTGGCTGGAGTTGGTCTTCAATTTGTTATTGTATTTAAATCTGCTAGTACATCTAACATTGCCCTTCCCTCCAGACTGACAATGCTGATGTTTGCTGTGCCTCTTGTGCTCATTCATCCAGGATGGTGTCTCACTAACACCGGAGGTATGTTGCTGGCCAGATCACCAGGTGAAAACAGAGGGGAAATAAAAGCCAAAAGAATAGAAAACTAATGCAGCCGCCACATCGAACGAATGGTAACAGGGATGTGCAATTCATATCGCTTGGCGCCTGGGCCCCAGGCAGGTGGTTTATGTTCACAGTTAGCCCTGCTGTGGGCAAGCAGGGGGGGGGGGGGGGGGTTTCCTTTTTTTGTTCTGTCTAACAGAGTAGATCTCAGTGTAGCATGAACAGATCTTCAAGCTAGAACAGCTTCAGTGGGCTCTCCACTCTTCCATGCTGCTGCCCCCAGTGCAGGCAGTCCCCATCCCCCATCAGCAGCTCCAATCAGTCCCGCCCACTCCGCTTCCTCTCCTCCTCCTTCCCGGACACAGTGCTGACAGGCCTCCCTTCCCACACCCCTCACCTCAGCAGTTTCTCTCCTCTCAGTACTGAGCTCTATTATGTCTCCACTATTTGTATCCCTCCCTCTGCACACACTCGCTTACTCCGCTGCAGAAAAAGAAAACCAGTCGGCCTCAGGACCCCAGACCACCATACAGGACCCAGACACCATACAGGACCCAGACCACCCATACAGGACACATCAACCCGGTACTCGGAAATGGCAATACACATTACACTGCCCTATTACTTCTCATCTAGTCTGCTTGGCACTCCCATACACACAGCACTGTACAGTGCGCGTGCTGGGCGCGGGGGCCGCCAGGGGTGCGCCTGCTGGGTGCGCCGGGGCCGCCAGGGGTGCGCCTGCTGGGCGCGGGGGCCGCCAGGGGTGCGCCTGCTGGGCGCGGGGGCCGGTCAGAGGTGCGCCTGCTGGCGCGGGGGCCGGTCAGAGGTGCGCCTGCTGAGTGCGGGGGCCGGTCAGAGGTGCGGTTGCTGGCGCGGGGACGGTCAGAGGTGCGGTTGCTGAGCGCGGGGACGGTCAGAGGTGCGGTTGCTGAGCGCGGGGGACGGTCAGAGGTGCGGTTGCTGAGCGCGGGGGACGGTCAGAGGTGCGGTTGCTGAGCGCGGGGACGGTCAGAGGTGCGGTTGCTGAGCGCGGGGACGGTCAAGGTGCGGTTGCTGAGCGCGGGGACGGTCAGAGGTGCGGTTGCTTGCTGAGCGCGGGGGACGGTCAGAGGTGCGCTTGCTGAGCGCGGGGACGGTCAGAGGTGCGATTGCTGAGCGCGGGGACGGTCAGAGGTGCGATTGCTGAGCGCGGGGACGGTCAGAGGTGTCATGCAGTTGTCAGAGAGGGATGCAGAAATCCTATCGCCAGACACTGGGAAGGTGGCCTCACATATACTCGGCCTCACAGAATGTGTATCGCTGTTTGTGCTGGGAAAGCACCACACTCTGGGTCTTGTACTAATGATCGGGTCCTGGGTCACAAGATCGCTCCGATAGCCTCTAATTGGCTATCACAGTGATTTATCACTGTTCCGCCTGCTCGTGTTTACCTCCTCTTCTGAATGAAGGGAAAGATGCATTGTAGGAGAGAAAAACAAACAAAAGTGTGTAAAAAAAATTTTTTTTTATAAAAATTAAAAATAAAGAAGAAAAATAAAGAAAGAAAAAAAAAAAACCTAGATGAAGGTTTGCCAGGGTAAGTGTTAGGGTTAAGGTAAGGGTCAAAGGTCATAGTCAGTATTTTTAGGCACATTTAAAAAAAAAAAATTTTTTTTTTCAAAATTGTTAGCATCAGTGTTTTAGGCAGGATAAAAAAAAAAAAAAAAAAAAACGGCAAAATCCGCACCATTGTTTCTGGGCCCTTTTACAGGTACAAACAACTAACATACACATATGGGGGTATTACTGCGATCGTCAGGAGCAGGAGAATTTATTTTGGGTTGTTCTTTGGTGGTAAATTATGGTAATAGCAAGAAACATGCCACTAAATTTAAAAAAAAAAATCTATTTTTTTTAATTTTATTTTTCACTATTTTGGGTCAGTTTTCCTTTTGATAATACTATAAAAAAATTTGTTACCATTTGCCACCAAAAGAAAACAAAAAAAGGCAGTATTATCCACCTAGATAAACAAAGTAGTTGTGATGATATGTCTGGTTTTACTAACACATGTCAAAGTTGCTAAATTGTGCTTAGGCATTAACGTTTTACCCTCAGTCACCAAGTGGTTAACAGAGTTGACAAGGGTGCTTGATTTAGCTGCTCAGCATGCACTTGCACTGAGCACCCAAGTTCCTCTGTGAGCAAGGGATACCTGAAGGAATGATTTTTTTTTTTTTTTGTTTTGTTTTTTCTCATTGGGGCCAATGTCTCATTTACTTGCTCAGCAGATGCGCTTCTTCTGATCGTTAAGAAAGTCCAACAATCCCCCTTCCTGACGAGCACCCAATCAGTGCTTGTCACACTGCAAGATCTCTCCCCTCCCTGCTACTCCCCGGGTGCAGTGCTGGAGACAGGCAGGGAAGGGAGGAGGAGATAAGCAGCGCAATTTTAAAACCTTAATAAATACAGTTTTGGTTAAAGCAGTAGTAAACTGCATCCATAAAAAAAAAAAAAAAAAAAAAAAATCCCCTGCAAGGTAAGGCATAATGTGCATCACATATTATAAGCTTACCTGTAGGTAAAAAAGTGGCTTTACTACCACTTTAAAATATTTTTTTTCCACACAAGTAGATTGTCATGAGGGACAAGTAGATTGGGACCCTGATTTATGCAGGCCATAGATGGGGAGAAAACCAGCCGATTTTTCTTTAAAAAAACAAAAAAAAAACAGCCGATTTGTCTTTAAAAAAACAAAAAAATCAGTCGTTCAAGCGGCCGACGTTACCAGGAACGGTAAAAAAAAAAAAAAAAAAAAAAAAAGGCCGATTTTCATCCCGTCTACAGCCGGCAAAAAGTGTCCCTGCAGAGAGCTCAGCTATTTCTTTGACATTTATAGCAGTTGCAACAATGTATATATTTGTATCCATTTCGGATACAGATGTTTTTGTTCGGAAACAAATGGATACATTGTTGCAACCGCTAGAAATGTCAAAGCCTCCTCCTCCTCCTTTTCCCAACTTTACCGATAAAAAATATCTGCCAAAATACCGAAAAACGGCCGAACAATTAGCCCACCAACGATCCGAAAATCGGCCGATTTTATTTTCGGCCGAAGAATCGGACAATTTTCGACCCATCTATGGCCTGCATTAGTCTCTGGACAAGTATTTTTTTTTTTTTTTTTTAAATTTCCACACCCTTGGGTAAGCTGCAATATATTATATATTTGGATTTGGGTTTAATACCGCTTTGCATGTATCAAACACATATGTCTGTGTTGAAAACGTTTTCAATGGTTTAACAGATCCAAAAGGGGCAAATAAGAGAAGTTCATTGTTACCATTTGCATATACATAAAAGGGATTCTAAAACGGAAAGTAAAAAAACAAACCAAAACAAAAACCCCAAAAACAAACATGTTATACTTACCTGCTCTATGCAATGGTTTTACACAGGGCAGCCCCAATCCTCTTCTTTCTGGGTCCCCGCTGGCGGTCCTGGCTCCTCCCCCCTGCCGAGTGTCCCCCAATAGAAAGCCTCTTGTTATGGGGGCACTCAAGCAGGCTTACTCCCAAGCCATGCTGTGTGTCCATTTACACAACAGCGCGGCTCAGCCCCGCCTCTCCTCATTGGCTCACTGGTTTTGATTGAAAGCAGCAAGAGCCAATAGCTTCCACTGCTGTGTGAGCCAATGTGAAGAGACCCGGAGAGCCGCTGCTCTCATGCACGTTGCTGGATAGAGATGGGGCTTGGGTAAGTATAAGGGGGACTGAGATGGGGAGCTGCACCCAGAAGGGTTTTCACCCTAATGCACAGAATGCATTAGGATAAAAAACCCTGAGCCTTTAGAACCACTTTAAAAAGGAAATTATGTTACAGCTGCAGTATGGTCTAAAATAACTATGGAGTTTACCCAATTCTTTGCCAAATGTGATTTTTTTTTTCCCCACTAGAAATACACTTACAGATTAACAATATAAAATAATCAAAACAGCAAAGATTAAAATATCACTTGAAACAAAGTCTGCACAATTTTAGTTTAACATTCTGAGGGATTAAATTTAAAATACTGCAGCCAAAATTTATAGGGATTGTAAATGCGAGAAATAAAATACTAAACATGTTATACTTACCTGCTCTGTGCAATCCTTTTGCACAGAGCGGCTCAAAACCTCCTAGGGTTCCCCGCAGGTGCTCCAGGCTCCTCCTCGGAGGTTCTGTGTGTGTCTCAAAGCAAGCCACTTGCTATAGTGGCACACCCGCAGGCTTGCTCTTGTGCCAAGTTGTGTGTGTCTATAGACTAACAATGTGGCTTGGCCCCAAACCCCAATCTCTGCTCACAGGATTTGACTGACAGCAGCAGGAGCCAATGGCTTCTGCTGCTGCCCAAGTCCCACTGAGAAGAGGAAGAGAAGAGAGGAGAGAAAATACCTGAAGCCGGGACATCCAGGGACAGCGCTGGATTGCTGCCAGACTCAGGTAAGTAGAGAGAAGGAACAGAAACAGAGGAATGTTTTATAACTGAAAGCAGGGGATGCACTAAGGTAAAAAAAACACACAAGCTTCAGAACCACTTTAAAAACAAAGAAAAAAAAAAAAAAAAAAAAAACACAAAAAAAAAAAAAGCCACCAATCACTGCAAACAGACACCCCACCTACTCCACTGGAACAAGTTAGCAGTTCTTCTCTATAGCAACCAAGCTCACTTCTAGCTATTAGTTGCAGAGCCATTCAGCCTCTCCATTTGTACAACGATTCTGCACAATTAAAAAGAAAATGCAATACCCACCAGTTCTTTTATCCTCTTCCTTTGTCTGCCTGGGTTCCCCAGGTGACTTGTCAGATCAAAAATTGTAGGGATAGCGTTTTCTCGTAGTACCGTCCTATACGGGCTCTGAAGAGAAACATATGAATATCAGCACATTGGCCAAGAATGATTACCCTTGCAGCTGCATATACAGACAAAAATTGAATAGTTAATACTCTGGATTCGGGCCCTTCAAACTCAAGTTCCAAACTGCGTACGCAGTTATCTTAAAGGAGATCAGTATTGTAGAAACCAGGGTGGATTTGATTTAAATCAAATGGATTTAAATCACAATGTAAATCACTAGTCAGTAAGGCTTGATGTAAATCCTAGTTTTCTACATAAAGACTAATTCTTGCTGGTATAACTTTAATATACAAGTAGATGAAGATTTTTAGAATAACAACTTTTCATATTAGTTTTTTTATCCCCAGTTTAATAGGTTAATCATTCATATTTGGACAACTTTTCTGTTGTATTTAGGAAGGAGAAAAATAATCATTACCTTAATAACAATTTAAATAGATTTATTCAACTGAAACAATAACATTCCAGCATATGTGATTTGCTTAAACATCCATGTTTGGTAACTAATTTGGCTAAACAAAATATATATATTTTAAGAAACGTAGACTGTCAGCCCCTTCCTCCTCACACTTCGTTTCACTTTCTTCTTGTGCAGATCTATTCCACTCCAAAAAAATCAGAAAAATATTGTTTCTATTCTATTCACTGAACTTCTTGAAACTTAGCAGTGAAGGGGCTGATTCTGTATTCATAGGTTTGTAGAAGTTAGGATGAAGGTCTTTTTCTTAACTCTGTTCATGTTATAACATTTTTGCTGTGAAGAAGAGGCATGTGATCTCCGCTGAGTCAAATTCAGTTTTGAGAACTGCAAAAGTAAACCGAGCATCTGTGATGTGAAACTGCCCAATAATCTTACAGAAACCTCTGGAAGAGCATGACATTGTGAATGGATTCATGGAATTTATTTACCAAAAACATTAAACATATACAGCCTTATTCTACATAATTAAAAAACTAATCTTTATTTCATGATGGAATAACCTTTGGATGGTAATATATTTTCCTCAAAAAGCATTTTATTCAAAAAAATCAGATTTAAATAAAAAAAAAAAATCCGATTTTTTTAAAAAAAAATCATTGATTTTTATCCACCCTGGTAGAAACTGTACCCAAAGATGACAAGCACAGGACAAGAGACTAGCGAGCAGCACCTGCAGGCTTCCTGCAGTTGAGCTTTTCCCAATTACAGATGTACAAAGACTTGTTCCACACTCTGCACAGGCGCCATCTTGGTAGAGGCACAGGGATTTGCTTTCGAAAGACAAATCCACAAAATAAATGAGGCTGGAAAATGCTTGCAAATCAGGTTCTCAAGAACAGCAAGCAGGAGCATTTTAGATCTCACTCTGCAAATATACGGCTACAAGGAGTGCCTAGGCACAGGATGTAAACTGCTATTTTTACAATAACTTCAAGACGAAATTGTAAATCTTTCAGGGTACCGCTTTGGCACAAAGAACATACAGGCGTATCTCGGTTTACGAACGCCTCGGTTATCGTAATTTTCGGTTATCAAATGAAAATCCATTGACAATAATGGCTCGGTTTACGAATTTTTTTTGCAATACGAACGGATTAATTGGTTTTCAAACACATATACAAATTTTTTTTTTAATCATGTCCCTGTGCAGTACTATGCCTTTAACCCCTTCACGCCTAAGGGTAAAACAAATCTAAATGCCTAAGCACAATTCTGCAACGTTGACATGTGTTAGTAAAACCGTACATATCATCAACTACTTTTTTTAATTTAGCTGGTGGGAAATTCTTGTTACGACCAAAATACTCCTAACTCCAAAGAACAACCCAAAATAAGTTCTCCAGTTCTTGACGATCACAGCGATAACATATATGTGTATGTTATTTGTACCAGTAGTACAGCCCAGAAACAATAGTGCGCATTTTGTTTTTGTCTTTTTTTTTTTTACCTAAAACACACTGACACTAAAGCTGACACCAATTTTTTTTTTTTTTTTAAATCCTGACCTTTGACCCTGACCCAAACACTAACCCTGGTACTGAATTAGATCAAACCTTGATCTAGGTATTTTTCTTTATTTTTTAATATTTATCTTTTTTTTTCTTTTTTTTTTTTAACAAACATTTTATCTCTCTATGTCAGGAGTTAGAGAGATACAATGTATCTCTCCTCTCCATTCATAGAAAGAAAAAACAAGGGGTCGGGCTGCACAGTGACTGATCACTGTGAGAGCCAATCAGAGGCTATCACGTGACCGGAATCGGGAGTCCCGGATCCTGATCGTTAGAACGGGACCCGGGGCTCTCAGTGACACCACAGTCTTTGTGCTGGGAGCGCGCGGAGCTCCCAGCACAAAGACAGGTACGCAAATATGCGGCCCCACGGAAAAAAGCCCAGTTCCGTGAGGCCGCATATTTGTGTGCCGTCGGCGTCAAGGGGTTAAAGTGCACTTTATAAAGGGTTTTGAACAGATAAAAGACTATTTACTATTTCTGACCTCCGGAACAGATTAATTGGTTTTCAGTGCATTCCTATGGGAAACCGTGTTTCGGTTTACGAATTTTTCACAATACGAAAAGTCCCGCAGAACGCATTAAATTGGTAAACCGAGGTGAGCCTGCATTTAGATATTCTCTATATGACAAGGAATCTTCCGTTTTTAAAATTAGATCCACTTTAAAGCCAGGTTTGATTTTAACTTTAGTTCATTTGGACCACGCTGGTCCAAACAAACCATTTCCTTAGCACCCAGTCTGCATTCAAAGCCATGCACCGGCATATGTCAAAATGGGAACAGTGACTGTGTTCGTGCAGCTGCTGCATCCCAAAAGACATCAATGGGACTGCCTGCATGAAACACCAGCTTATTCCCATCTGGGTAAACAAGATCCTTGCACAGAACAAACATTAATATGCCTCATGTGAAGGAGGCCTTATTGGTACCAGATCCCTAACACAAAATTCTACCAATATTCAGAATTAAGGCGTCCATTACCTAGGCAAGCCAAAACCCAACATTTACCACTGACACATACCCCTTTATTCGGAACGCTAGCACATAACATGATTTTTAAAAAAAAAAAAAAAAAAAAAAAAAAAAAAGGCACCTATACCTCTACTATACACTTTACTCCATTGAGGTAAAATTGTCAACATTACTTTGGGGGAAGGGAGGAGGCCTAAAGTGGAGTTCTACTCACCTATCAAAAAATAAGTCAGCAGCTACAAAAACTGTATACTGCTGACTTTAAAAAAAAAAAAAAAAAAAAAAAAAAAACAGCCACTTACCTGTCCCTCGATCCAGTGGTGTGTCCCCCCCGCAGCCCATTTCACTGGCCATTCTGTATTCCAGGAGGCCGGCATCTTCAGTGTGGGGGCACCCAGCTGGGACAGCTTGCGGCTTCACAGCCGGGTATCCACTGCGCATGCGTGAGTAGCGCTGCACTTCATGAATGGTCCTGTAGTCTTCTGGGACCTGTCACGTGTCTAAAAGACTACAGGGAGGGAGAACACCTTCCGCTGCCGATCGCCTAGGCAATCGGACTGGAAGTGTGAGTGGGTACCTGTCAAATTCGAGTACCTGCTGCCCCCCCCCCCCCCCCCCGCTCCCCAAAGGTGCCAATCCCTAATGGGGAGGGGTCCTTAAAGCGGAACTTCCCCTTTTGGGTGGAGCTCCGCTTTAAAGTGGTTGTAAACCTCAGACATGAAATATGAGCAAAGCATATCCCTCTATAGTGTGTGCTTGTCTCAATCTAGAGTACTAAATGTCAATTCTCTTTGCTGCCTCTTCCCCTGCTATCAGCATGAATCGCTTCTGACAAGTTTCCCTGACACCAAAAGAAAAATGGTAACAGGGAGGGACTTCCAGCAGACTGACAGCCTCAGCTCTGTTCCTGCGAGCTGTGTGGAGGGGGTCTTCCTCCAATCAGCTCTTAGAGCACTCCCCACCGAGCTCTGAAGAGTGTAACTTCAGCTCTCTGCCCCCTTTTTACTGAACTCTCAGGCAAGCTTTATAAATTCAGCACTTTGAATAGATACAGAGAAGAGAAGACTGCAGATAAACAGGTAAAACTTATGTAGGAGGATTTGTTTCATCCTTTGTGTATCACCTGAGGCGAGTCACTTCACTTGGTATATATGTAAGGGTTTACAACCACTTTAACCCCCCTGGCGATATTCCTGAGTGTAGCTCGGGGTAAAGTTTCAGTACCACAAGCGGTAACCCTGAGCTACACTCGGGCTTACCATGCAGCGTTGCTCCGGGATCTGTTCTTCTCTTACCTTGTCCTGTGCTCCCGCAATGTCCCCCCTGCAGTGTCCCCTGTAATGTCCTTCGGCTGATGCTGGCATCTGTCATCTGGGTTCCGTCCCCTGAGACGTCAGGACGTACGGGGGACGCAACGGCGGGAAATTTTAAAATGACAAAAGTGACATTCACTAAAATCTCATAGTAAAACATTACTGTATCAAACCATTTCACATACATTTTGTCCCGAGTGCTTTGTCCTGTGCCCTGCCTGCATTTTGACTGTTCTTTCTGCCTGGAAACTGAGAAACGTCCATGGCGTCCAAAAAGCGTCCCTTTAGGTCAAAAGCGGTTTTAGACCGGCTAGAGAACAGCGATAGTAAATCAGAACCACTTGCAGAATTGAGTGATAATGATTTGTGGGGAAATTCGTCATCAAACACTGAAAACGATTCTGCGACTTTGCTCAGTGATGTGCGAACTTGGCGATATATTTAAAAATTTCAGTGTTTTTGGTTTTATTATATTATTGAATTAAATTATTATATTATTTTGTATGATTATTATATTATAATTTATGATTTTGTGTTTCAAATTTTAAACATACCCGGGATGTTTACTAGACTCTTGTTCGGACAGATTTCAGTGAGTTATTCCTAAAAAATTACAGGCCTACCATAAAAAAAAATACATATTTCCGTGCAAAAAAATGTACCGCTTTGAGCACAGAAATATGGACATAATCAGACCGCTAGGGAGGTTAAGCAACATTAT